TCATTTGAGTATCTGTTCCTCAGGAGTCACATGGGCTTGGGAGGAGCCCCTGGCTCATTTCTTTACCAGTTCCATCTATGTGAAGATAAGTCAAAGGTCCTGCTCCACCATGGCTGTCATGGAGGAAATGTTTCCTCTGTGTTGACCCTCCTCTTTGTAGACTGGACACTGGCTTAAGTCCATCTGGTGGGGTCTCCATGGCCTTCCTGAACAAGAGGACAGGTGACTCACCACAGTTACAGGACATTTTGAGAGATGTTCCATAGTCCCCTGGAATTTATTTGACCTGGAAGGGCGAGGAACAAAAACTGTCCTTTAAGACCCTCTGACCAGATTAGTATAGGCTTCAAATTATGGCTGTTAAACATCCAAGAAGTTTAGTCCTAACAGTCTGGTACTTTTAATTACCATGTGCTATGTAAAGAAAGCTTGGGCAAAAACCAAAGGTTCTCAGATAAACCTTGTCTAGACATATATTTTGTTCTTTAAACTAGTTGACTAAACTATGACCTTAGAAATTTTAAGATTATGTGTATATTATTTTCATCTCATCCTTTATATAGCATAACAAACTTACACAGACCTTCATCACTTGCTTAGGCTTTCTCATTTTTTCTGTCTTTTCTGGAAAAGATCTCCATTCCTATATCTTTTAACGTCTTTTACATTCTCATTTTTTTTTAATAATTATGAGACATAATATAAACAAATAAATTTTCCATTTGTTGTGAGAATTCTTTTCCTGGGGATACTAAGTAATGCCTACTCCCTTTTAAGGTTCTAATGTCGAACCAATGTTTGATTAAAGTTTTCCTGGGGAACCAATGAATTTTCTGGGCTTACTTACAGAGATGACTGAGGAGTTGCTGAGGTGTATGAATGACCTAAGGGTATGTACACTGTAAAGCCAGCATTGATTAAGCCTTCTCTTCCTAGCCTTCCCCAGATTATACACTTTAGCCCTCCCCAAATCCAGGACATCATGTGTGATTAGGGACAAACTGCATACAGTTGTCTAGGAAGAGTGGCCAGATACTCCAGTGAGGGTCCAATGACCCTACTTACCCCTCCTTTAATGAAGGAGCACAACCGTCAACAAGCCCAGTTGTCATGATGTTTAGCAAGCAGGCACAGCTAAAGCTGTGGTGAAATAACTACCATGATGATGGTAGTTATTTCACACAGAAAAGACTGCTACACAGCATGTCTTATTGAATGAATACGGAATTTAAAAGGATTTGGTGCTAGGATCCACAAATGAGGGAGAACATATGTCTTGTTTTTCTAAGTCTATTACTTCACTTAGTATAAGTTTCTAAATCCATCCACTTACTTGCAAATTTCATTATTTCATCTTTCTTTACTACTGAATAAAACTCCATTATGTAAATATATCACATTTTTGTTAACCACTCTTCAGCTGAAGGGCATTTAGGTTCCTTCCATCTCTTAGCTATTGTGAAAAGAGCAGCAACAAACATAGTTATACAAGTGTCTCCACAATAGGATGAGTCCTTTGGGTATATGCCAAGGAGTGGTATAACCGGGTCATATGGTAGGTTCATTTTTAGTTTTTTAAGAGTTCTCCACATGGTTTTTCATAGGGCTTGCACAAGTTTGCAATCCCACCAGCACTGAATGAGCATTCCCCTTTCTGCACATCCTTGGCAGCATCTGGTATCATTTGTTCTCTCGATCCTAGCCAGTCTGATTGGGGTAAGGTGAAACCCGAGGGTGGTTTTAATTTGCATTTCCCTAATTACTAATGATGTATAAGTATGCATCACTTTCCAGTTCTTTTTCTTTTTTACATTAGTGTTGGGATTGAACTCAGGTCCTCCTGCTTATATAGCAAGCTTTAATTTACTAACAGAGCTGTTTCCAAATGTGTTCTCTCTTTAAAGCTCACAACCAGAAAGTATCCAGCACAGCATAATAGACAAAAACATGTGTCAAGCTCTCGTGGATACCAAGCATGATCAAAACGGGCAGATTGGTAGTGTCACATTGCATTCCTATACTTTTTCCTTCCCTAGGAGCATGGCTGTGGGGAATGTATAAGGACCTGTACCTAATAGCGGAAGGATTTATTTACTCTGCATCTCTGGCCTAAAGGGTTTCCCTTCAGTTCAGAGAACACCTGCCCCACACCCTACCATGCTACCTTCACAACATTTTCAGTCTCCTTCCCAGAACCTTCTGAGGGACTCACGTAGGAAAGAATGTGTAAATTTTTAGAATCATATAAGTGAATGGCTTGAATGTTGGTTGTATAAAACTTTGGAGGAAATATTTTCAGGTCTCTATAGAATTCCTTCCCAAGAATCTAATTCCTCTTAAAATTGTAAAAAGCTATTTCCATCTCAAGCATTCAATAAAGACATGTCTTGATAATGCTTGCCTAATCTGTGCATTTGACATCCTTGTGGCATATAGGGTTAGCCTCCGAGTTAAATCTTGAAAGATCCAGTGGGAATGAAAGTCCAGAAATGCTTTTTATCTGTCAGATAATTGGAAGTTAACGAATAAGCATTTTCAGCCTGTGGATGTCTGGAAATCTATGAAAAGAATACTTTTCCACTGATATCAAAGGTTACTGGGGTTTGAAGGGCGTTTCCAGAAGGGTTCCAGTTTTTGCATCCATGAACAAGCACTTGAGCAGAGACGTGTGGCTAGTAGGAAACAAAGTGAGACCATTCAATAGGAGATCATACTTGCAAAGGAGCCAGTGAGCAGGAACAGAGAAGCTCCTTAGCAGTTCAGCAGACATGTGGTACAAAGGACAGGACTTTTTGGCTCATATGTGTAGCACGGGCTTTCTCACTCATGCTGAGTCTATTACAGGGAGTTCCACACGCAACTTCATGCAGCACATGTCTCAGTAGCATCTTAGCTCTCCACCAGGGGTGTGCATTTAGTATTATAATGAGCCACAGGTCACCTTCAGACATTCTGAAGTGTCTCTAGGATGTCTTCTGGGCCTACTCCAGTGGCCCCCACAAGTTCTAGTGAGCTGAAGGTCTGAGGGGCATCCAGCTTTCCTCTTCGCCAACAGATTGTTCTTGCATGATGACTTTACAGCTTTTGTATAAGGCTTCCCAGATGCCATTTTCTTCCCTGTTCCACCTCACCAGCAATATTGAGTCATCCTCCACACTCCTCTTAGATCTGTTCCCACAAGGACCTGTTTTCAGCACTTGAGGAAGGGTACTAATACATTTTATAACCAAGTAATGATTGTGAAATGAAATAAATTGCTTAACAAATAAGATACATATGTGTCACACTTCTGAGGTTAAAGATCAATTAATTAGCTTACTTTGGGAATAACTTTCAATTCTGAATAATTTCATTTTGTTTTGTTTTTTGTTTTGTTTGTTTTTGTTTTTGTCTTTTTGAGATAGGATCTCCCTGTAGCTGCAGCTGACCTAGAACTCACTATACACACCAGGTTGGCCTCAAATTCAGAATTCCACCGCACTCTGCCTTCCAACTGCTGGAATTTTAATTAATCCTTTAATGCTTTAGGGGGTTTTGTTTTGTTTTACCCTGTAGCCACAGTTGTACTGGAACTTGCTGTGTAGACCAAGCTAGCCTCGATCTCACAGAGATCTGTCTGCCTCTGCCTCCCAAGTGCTGGGATTAAAGGCTTGAGCCACCATGCCTGGCATAATTTTATTTTTTAATTGATTGTTTTCTAAGATTTAGATTGTGCCTTCAATTATCTTGGAAGCTAGAATATACTGACCTGCACAGATATACTCACAGAAGACACCATTTCCTTTCTCTGAAGGATACATACTGCTTCCTATATTGCCTGAGGAGCACATGGTCTTTTCTATGGGATCTTAGACTCATCTGTAATAGAAATTAAAAATGGACTCAGAAGGGTAGGCATTGGGCAGGCAAGCTGGAGATCCTGGAAACTTCTGGGAGAAAGGAGTTAAATAGGAGGAAGAGAGGAAGTCATACTTTGTGAGTTAGAGTCAAGGAAGCAGATGGGCTCAGCCATGGAAGTCTGCAAAGAGCTCTGGGGAGGACTTCAGAGAAAGAGAATGTCCAGGGTGTCAGGGTAAGCAGGCTCGGATTTAGACAATTCTGAAAAAGAGAGACAGAGGGAAAGAAAAGAAAATGGTATACTCTGGGGGTTAAAACTCAGAAAATGGGCAGGCTTAGACATGAGGGTCTGTAAATGAGTATTCCTCTTTTTCATGTGCTATTTTAAATCTTCAGGAAAGGCAATTGTGGTGCTTCCTCCCTAATGCCGAAGCTTCCTCCCCAACCGTGATGCGTCTTCCCTTGTTTCACATGGTATTTAGAGTTCTGAGGAGGGGGAGTTGTGATACCATCTCCTACCTGAACATTAGTATGTTACAGGTACACAAGAAGCAGAATCTGTCTTAGTCACTTGCTTCTGTTGCTTTGACCTATGAACAGGCAAAAGCAACCTAAGGAGGGGAGGGTGGGTTTGGCTCGGTGTTTTAGAGCGCAGTGCATCACGGGGGAAGAAGGCGAGGCAGGCAGAATGTGAGGCAGCTATCAAGTTGCAGCCACAATCAGAAAGCAGAGAGGGCAGGCTATAGTTCAATTTGCTTTCACTTTTATGCAGTCCAGGACAGCAGGCCATTGAACAGCGCTGCCTATATTAGGTGGCTCTTTTCATCTCAATGATTAATCAAATGAGCCCTCACAGACATGCCTACAGGCTTATGATGTCAGTGATTCTACTTACGGTGAAGCTAACAATATTCACCATCCCAGGGTCCAAAGCTGGTTATGAAAGAGGCGTCCGTCATCCTCCATCCTGATCGCTGTTACTGTCTAACTGGCGGCCGAACGCTGCACAAGCAGAGATTAAAGAAGCTTCCTACATTGTCATTCTTCAGAAAACGCCATCTAATATTTTTTTCCAAAGACTAAATTTGGATTACTGGATTTGTAATAGAGAATGAAAATTCTTTATTTACAACTGAAACTTAAACGTTATTTTTTTTCTCCAGGTGCATTTTCTATAACATCTGAGACTACTTCAGCCCTGTAGAGCAACATGATCTTTAACTCTTCCACCCAAGATGGTATTAAGAGAATCCAGGATGACTGCCCCAAAGCGGGAAGGCATGATTACATATTTGTCATGATCCCTACTCTCTACAGTATCATCTTTGTGGTGGGCATATTTGGAAACAGCTTGGTAGTGATTGTCATTTACTTTTACATGAAACTGAAGACTGTGGCCAGTGTTTTTCTTCTCAATTTAGCCCTAGCTGACTTATGCTTTTTGCTGACTTTGCCACTGTGGGCTGTCTACACGGCCATGGAATACCGCTGGCCCTTCGGCAATCACCTGTGTAAGATAGCCTCAGCCAGCGTCAGTTTCAACCTCTACGCCAGTGTGTTCCTGCTGACGTGTCTCAGCATCGATCGCTACCTGGCCATTGTCCACCCAATGAAGTCTCGCCTGCGCCGCACGATGCTGGTGGCCAGAGTCACCTGCATCATTATCTGGCTGCTGGCCGGCTTGGCCAGCTTGCCAGCCATCATCCACCGAAATGTGTTTTTCATCGAGAACACCAATATCACGGTTTGCGCTTTCCATTATGAGTCTCAAAATTCAACCCTCCCCATTGGGCTGGGCCTGACCAAGAATATACTGGGATTTTTATTTCCTTTTCTGATCATTCTCACGAGCTACACTCTTATTTGGAAAGCCCTAAAGAAGGCTTATGAAATTCAGAAGAATAAGCCAAGAAATGATGATATTTTTAGGATAATTATGGCAATTGTGCTTTTCTTTTTCTTTTCCTGGGTTCCTCACCAGATATTTACTTTCCTGGACGTTCTGATTCAGCTGGGCGTGATCCGCGACTGTAAAATTGCGGATATTGTGGACACCGCCATGCCTATCACCATTTGCATCGCTTATTTTAACAATTGCCTGAACCCTCTTTTTTATGGCTTTCTGGGGAAAAAATTTAAAAAATATTTCCTCCAGCTTCTGAAATACATTCCTCCAAAGGCGAAATCCCACTCAAACCTTTCAACAAAAATGAGCACGCTTTCTTACCGTCCTTCCGACAATGCGAGCTCATCTGCCAAGAAGCCTGCATCTTGTTTTGAGGTGGAGTGACACGTTCAAATCCTGTTAGTGAAGTGATGGACAGAGTCAGAGCTGCAGCCCTCCAGACAGCTCTCACCAAAGGAGTATCCCTCCCTTCAGGATTTAAGCAGAAAATGGGTTCAGTAGTTACTTTCCTAAAGCTCTGAACAAAGTCTTTTCTTTCCTTTGCAACCTAACGAATGAAGCACACTTTGCCGCATTTTGCATTGATGGGGCCTCAAAAGACGATGTCAAGAACTGGAAGAATGTGTGGATTTGGGGGAAAAAAAAGTACTGGCAGAAATGCGATCTCCTCAGTCTCCTCTTACTCCCTACTTTTGATTTCCACATAAAGGTACTGAGGATAATTAAATTCTTAGACAAGTCACACAAGGCTGGAGATCAAGATTTTTCTGCTAAGTTTAGAGAGGGCAGGGAACTTTTTGTGTCTGTTTAGCTCTTAGCAACTGTGACCCACTTGTACCTGATCCCACACGTTTTGTACAAAGATTTGCTATGCTGTAGTCACATTTTGGAACCCTTTGTAGAATGCAGCTGGTGTCTTAAAAACATGTGCAGCCAAAACAATGTGAGCAAATGGCTTACTTGTATAGGAGCCTTACCAAAGTCATACATCAAAGTTGAACTGCTTGTAAAACTGTTGCTGTCTCAGGTAATTGTGTCTTCTTAGTTACATCAGCTTTATCTCATATCTGAAAAATGTATGCAGTTTATGGTGAAAGGATTATGTATCATAAAGTCTGTGTTGTTTTCTAAAAAAAAAAAAAAGACAAGTTATATATATATATACACATATATATATATGTATGCTTATCTATATCTCCAAATTGTCTTTTGATTAAAATCTGGCAATGTTATATTTACCGTGAAATAAAGTAATTTTCTTGTAATGTATCTAATCTTCATTACTTAAAGGAAATGCTGATTTGTTTTTAAAATGAGGCAACCATGATTTTATTTAAAGCTTGATCTAATTGATAGTTTAATGTGATTATAGTTATAGGTTTTGTATCTCACTGTTGGAAAGGAAGAAAATAGTTTATTCTTCTAAACAACATGGGGTAGATACATCATTTTGAGTTTTTTTAAGTTTTTCATGTAACAGTAAAACATTCTCACTACTTATAACCCTAAATTGATTCGTTTACTCATTATTTTTAAAATAATTGGATGTCTTTAGCTATGTGGATGATCATTGCAGGAAATCCAGAATCTAGAGAAACATTGACGTAATAGTCATATTTAGTTCCCCAATGCAAAGAAAAGTTCATTTTAATATTTTAGGTCATTTACTTCTACAACTTTTGTACTTATTATACACACGTACATATGCAAATTATGATACTGGAGTCATCGTGTGTGTGTAGGACTTTGTGTACATATTTGTCTATCAATATCATCACAAAGTAGTTCCCATTATATATTTTTCTTCACCATTTTAATATTTATTATTACAAAATACAGGCACACCCTGATATGATAAGAGAATCACCAAATTGGAACATATAGCATTTTTCCAATTTTTTTTCAGTATCAAGAATTACATGGAGCTGAATGTCAAGTACATGAATCTGATAAATTCCTCACTTTCCAAGAAGTAACACAACAATGCAGTTGTAAGCAATTTTTTTCCATATTCATGATAAATGTTTCCAAATATTTTCCAGGAAATATAGAACAGTTTATATACCACCATCTATGTTTGGCCATCTCACTAGAGCCTAGACAGAGTCTACCATAAGGACCCAGGAGCCGGACACAAGGGCAGGGGATCAAGAAAGCTCAAAGAACATGCTGTAGCATAGTGTTCTTGCAGGGCTGTTGCATCATTCTTTAGCCTAAAAGCTTTCACTCTGAGGTCCATCCACAACATGCTGAACTGACTGTCCTGGTCTAATAAACTGTGCCCAAAGGATTGGATGATGTATAAAGTAATTGATAAAAGCAGCAGGCATCCAGGAAGATTTCAGTACAAGGAGCAGAGCCTCCACCATTCCACTCCCACTCCCACAAACAGAGCTATTTTATGAATAAATGTGGTTAGACGTGCCTCACATTTTCTCCTCTTGTATTATTTTAATTCTCACTAATATAATAATAGATATGTATTCCAATATTCTTTTATCTTGAAGAAAGATTTCCCCTAACATTAAATTCTACCCCATCTCAAATGGGATTCCATGGTCTGCATGTCATGAACATATTTCATGAGCTACACTACTTATTTTTGGAATATTTTTTAAGTTTATATAAAACAAATATTTACAGTAAAGGTTCTAGGTGCTCAATGCTGTTTTATCCTCCCCCCTTGAGCAAATTCCATCTTTTAAGTCAATAATTACTTTATTCATGGATTCAGTAAACTTTTGATATTTACCTACTCTGTGCTAGAGGACTAGAGTTGTGTAACTTATATTTTATAATGTACAATAGGGTTTTCCATTAAATGTGGGCAGTTTGTAAGGCAGCCAAATAAGAAGTTTGATTTCCAAACCATGGGAAATCCCAAAGAGCTTTGATACCACATATCTTCAATCCCATAATTGTCTACACTACTGCAATTTTTTTCCAGCAAAACATACCAAGCTGGGGGTCAAAAGAAGAAACCAGGAAAACCAGTCCAAGTAGTTGAAAAGTGAAGTCAAAGAAAATGAGCCCAGGGAATTCCAGACACGTGTATAAAGGATAAGATTCTTGGACGTAGTGGACAAAATAAATTGGGCAAAAAGCTAGAGCAGAGGGACAGAGACAAGGAGAGTATGCTGGAGGCCTTCACAGGAGAACATATGCAGGGGTCCCAAGCCCTAAGGACATGGTAGATTTGGACCTAGGCCTTCCTGAGGAAGAGGAGACTAAAATATCAGGAAGAGATGGAAACTATAAAAAATACTATCATCAAGACACAATTGAATTTTGCATATTACAAGTTGCATAATAGGAAAATCCCCCTTAAAACGGGAGGCATCAAACAGATTAAAGAATAAATGGCAAAAAGAGTAAGAAGACGGAAGAGGTAGGCTATTACAGCTAATGAGCAGAGTCAGGTTTTTTAAGTTTTTATTGAGTCAGTTACCATATGCATTTGTTGGCTAAGGGTCTAGCTCAATTGTAGAATATTTGCTTAGCAAGCATGAAGCCCTGATTTCATTCATGATTTTAAAAAAATAAGGTCAGGGCTGAAGAGATGGCTCAGTGATTAAGAGAACTGACTGCTCTTGCAGAGGACCCGGATTCAAATCCCAGCACCCACATGGCGGCTACAAACTGTCCTTAACTCAAGTCCCAGGGGACTCCGAAGCCCTCTTCTGACCTCTGCAGCATTGCACGACACCGGTGCACTCACATACACACAGGCAACACACTCATACATATAAAGTAAAAATAATAAAATATTTTTTAAAAAATAAGGTATCTGTAATTGCATCCACTTTTTTCTGCTTGTGTAATAGATTTCAATGGAATGATCTGTAGGGTCCTTTCCCTCTTTGTGTGGAAATTTTCCACCCAATTTAAATGTAGGACCACCTCAAAATGAACCACTTTTTCTACCTAATCCCATCCCTAGGCCACAACAAATGGTTCATGGTTGACATGAACTAGGTACAGTCACATAATGATATTCAAACCAGTACTGAGGTGGAGCAGGAAAAAGCTGGCCCCTGTTTGGCACATCATTCTGCAACTTGCACATGCACCCAAGGAAACTAGATCCATTATTTAATGAAACTTCCATTAAAGGGGAAGAACTGTAGAGGGAGCTGAACCTAGAAGGAACTGCATCAACAACACCTCTATCTTAAATTACTGTAAGCTGATATTGTCCCTGAGATGGCACAATGGCAAAATACTGAGTGAATAATTATAATAAATATGACTTGGGCCATGAAATCATAAAGAGGAAATGAATATGCGTACCACCTGAGGATCCAAACACATGGCCTTCACCTACTGGAGCCCCTCCGCAGGACCCTTTAACCTATGAATTGCCTTCCTCTGAGAGTACCAGCAAGCACAACATTCTACCTTATTCGGGTCCAGTAGAAAGTACCTTCATCAAGCCAACTCATCCTGCTTGAAAAAAAATCACATAATGAGGTTTAAAAAATTAATTTCCATGATCAGTAAGATCCAGGATTAGAAATATAGCTTCTTTTAAAAGACAGTAGTTTAAATAAGATATGGCTTTAGCAATATTAATTCTGAGTCATTCACACACAAGAAAGCATTGCATAAATAAGCAATTAGGGGTTTAAGTCCCTAATATCCTTCAGGAAGCTTGATGGGAAAAATATGTATTCATAGGCACGACATAAATTTAATGAATAAATGATATTTATTTTGACACTCTTAAAAGCCAGTTTGGGGGCCTAGAGAGATTGCTCAGCAGTTAAGAGCACTGACTGTTCTTGCAGAGGACCTGGGTTCGATTCCCAGCACTCACATGACAGCTAACAAAGGTCTATAACTCCAGTTCCAGGGGATCAGAGACACTCTTTTGACTTCCACAGGCATTGTAGGACACATGGGTGTGGGTGCATTTGTGTACATGTAGACAATACACTCATACACACAAAATAAAAATATTAAATTTTTAAGTTTTCTATCTCAATTACTTTGTTTCAAGTATCCAAATGATATGGGCTGGAAGATGGCTCAGCAGTTAAGAGCACCTATTGTTCTTCCAGATGACTTGTATACAATTTCCAGCAACCATGTCAGGTGACTCATAACCACCTGTATCTTCAGCTCCTGGAGGATCCAAACTCTGTATGGGTACCTGCACTCACGTGCACATACCTATACACAGATACATATACACAAAGATTTTAATTCTTTCTGTGTCCCATAAATCTTCTTGAAAAACTAAACAAGTTGAAAATCAGAGGTTCAGTCAGACCTCCTTGTGAATTGGGTTATAGAATAGCCGTAGAATTACTTATCCAAGCATGATGAATTTTACTACACACTATGGGTACATACAGGTAAGAAATAATTTTCCAGAAATAAACAAGCTTCGGGCCTCCAAGACAACAGACAGAGGATATTGCTAACCAATAACAAGACTCCTTAAGATTCACCAGAATGGAGACAGACAGTTGGGTTGCTGTGCATTAGCCAGAACTGTGTATGTGACATCAGAACTGCCCCCACGCCATGTGGACCCATTCTTACCAGTGCCCTTCTCTGATTGACGCTGTTTCCAAGCTATACTGAATGCACATAAAGCAAAGCAAAGTACAGTGTCTAGAGGACATGAGGCCAGATCTCCAAACAAGCAACTGCTGTACTTATCCACATAGTAAGGGGGTAATAGGAAAAAAATCTTTCTACTGATACCACTTTTACAGTTGTTTCTTGAGCTCTTCTATACATCCCATCCTTTCCCCCCCAAATATCCCCTATTTCCATTTGATTGCCCACTCAGTGCAGAGGCTGACTCACTGTCAACACTGAGTACCCTGCCCAATCATATTTCATATATTTCTGGTTGCAGTGGTATGAAAACATGATGTAAAAGGGCTGGATCACAGCAGAGTCCCTGATTTTACCAGGAGTAGCTAGCTACCAGGCACATATCTTTTCTTCTCATTCCATGAAGTCTAAATGGATGTGAAGAGCGAATGTAGCCGTGTCATGGCTCCTAAGGGAGATGCAGAAATTTCCAAGATTTTTCACGGAGAGAATAAGAACACTACCAGCATGGTAAAAGGCTGGACAGGGTTCTCATGACAGCATTTGAGAACTTCCAGGAGCTAGTCTACCCTTCAGAGTTCTGGTTTATTCTTGAGCCAGTTGAAGCTAGACAAAATTACACACTGAAACCCAAGTCTCTGTGAAACCATTATAGCTATCATTTATGAAATTCCTACTGAGTACCAGTAAGAATGTTCTGCTCATATGCAGAGTATTATTCAGTCTTCATAATAATCAGTCTTATCGGTTTTGTTACTATTCAATGAGGAAAAAGGTAGCTTAGAGATTTCCATAACCAGTCCATTGAAACACGGCTGGAAGATGCTAGACTTGAATTTTTCACCTGAACTTATCGACTCTAAAGTCTGCTCTTACGCTGGCTTTTACACACCGCCCCCAAAGTGGCATCACAAATTTTGAATCATGTAGGTACTTTCTGAACAACTGCCTATGACTACTTATTAAAAATCAGTGTAATATTTTTCTTTGTTTTAGGCCACATTACCTGAATTTCAAGCCATGTCTGTCCTTGGAAGGTGGGCTCACTAAAGGAAAACACTAACTTAACTGATCTTATACAGTACAGCATAACACTGAATTTTACATTTATTTTAATTTGTTTTGGGGTGAGAGCCTATTGGATTTAACCAATATCCAAGCTATAACTGTTAACTGTCCCGGTAATTAGTGAAATATTTGTCCTTTTTGTAGCCAAAAAATTAGGTGGTATTTAATAAATTAGATGGGGGAGATAATTCCAAAATTAATTTTTATGGCAAATTTTTACCTTTTTTACCTAATAAGATGATGTTCCTTGGGAGAAAAAAATATTGCAGAGAGACCATATTGTAGTCTGGAAAAGATTTCCTATTGTTATACTGTTAGATTTGGCAATAGATTTAGGTAAAGAATTAACCTGGAATGGTGCAAACAAAAAGTATTGATATCTTTCAACTGTACACAGAAAACCAGAGGATAATGTTAAAATAATCACAGACATGAAACCCGAGGTCAGTTCCAGTAACACCACTGAAGCCCACCTCGGAATGAATGTCACTCAAAACAGAAAGGTAAGCAGAGCCTTATGACTGGACAGACTTGCTCATGGCTTCACCTTTGGCTATAGCATAGGAGGAAAATACCAACTGTATATGAAACATTCAGAAGCAAAGCTTCATGCTTTGGGAATGACCACATTCCCAAAGGAAATTCTAGCAGATACAATGAATCAGAAAACACTGAGAAATAGTGATGCATTTTGTCTTTGTAGGAAGGCAAGGATCACAGTTGCATCAGTAATCCTCCACTGAATGTGACTGTGCTCCTTAGGCAAAATGTAGCAGTCTATATATATGTTTGG